ACGTCCAGGGTTAACCTTCGTCTCTCATCAGCTTGTGTTCCTTTCCGTGTAGGGAAAACCATGCCTCCAAGGAAGCGTAACCCATCCGTCGGCAAGAAACCGACTCTCCTATTCGATGAAGCTACGTTCCAAGCTGCAGTCTCAGCAGCCGTAGCAGCTGTCATGGCTCAAAACTCAATGTTAACAACGCCAATGTTAGCAAGAGCCCTATCGGGAATTCCGATCCTAGTAATGGACAGCAGCAGCCAACCTCTGTATACCCAGCCACCCAAGAACCTCAACCAAATCCACTGAAGAGAGACCTCAAGATCGAGGAGGGAAGTACCTCGGCTCAAGGACCTTTCGAAGGGCAACGAGTTGAGACAATCAATACCCCTGCCAACCCTTCCATCCCTACACCTAAGAGACCATACCTACGAAACTTTCCCCACTGCAGCAAGTGTAGCTACCATCATCATGGTATATGTCGGGAACTCTTTTGTGTTAGGTGCAACATGAAGGGGGCATACTGCTCTCGTCTGCAGAACCCCGGTTGAGTTTATTACATTAACCACCAATGTGACGATCAATCAAGTATGCCACCTATGTGGTGAGATTGGGCACCTATAGCGTGATTTCCCAACGGAAAGAAAATACAAGGACATAGGAAGAATCTAACTCTAATGCTTAGGGAGAAGCATCAAGGAACCCGGTAGATTTTTGGTACGTCTCTCAATCTCATATAACTAATCAAAACGTTAAAAGGCTAATTCCAAATGTAATTACTTCCCCGTTAAGGCGAAAGTCGCAACACGGTTATAAAATTTAAAATTTCATCAGGTAAAACTATAATGGCTAAATATGCCGCCTCTTTAATCTTGCCGGAATTACCAATCACTCAGGTGATGTTTCTTACAGTCTTCTAATTGGTTTCTTGGGTTGATCTTGTAAAACTTGCTAGCCATGAAACCATCAATTTACATCTCCACAGAAAACAAGTTGTTGTTATTTCATTCGATAGAAAAAGAGATGGAAGAACGAAGTGTCTTTGGAATCGATATGAAGAAGAAGATGAAGAGCGTTTGTGTGTCTTTGCGTAATACGTAGTCTCTAGTTTTGGGTAAGGTGTAGTTTATAAGATACATACTTGTTAATTCCATTCATTTATTGGTTGCACTCTTAGCTAGACTTAGAAGTAATGTATATTATTGTCTTTATTATTATGTGCAATTGATTTGACAATACTAAACATTTATTTCTCGTCCATATTACATGTACTTTGGCTTAAGTTTAGAATCAATGTATTGCTTTAATCATTCTATGTATTTGTATATGTATTAACACGTATTTGTATATCTATAAACATGTATTTTGTGCATTATTGAGTGATGCGGAAGAAAATATAAATATAGATGTTATAGTTATATTGTTGAAAGTTTAGTTTCAATTATGCTTGACTCCAAGTATCAAAAATACATTATCGTATTTGTATATAAAAACTAATGATATTTTATAACTTTCTCGATTTGTGTGCCCTAGGTCATGAAATTAAATAGTTTTTTTTCTGAAATTGATAAATAATGATATCTTTAATATACTTTATAAACATAAAATTTCATGCAATTGGTCTTTATTGCATAAGGTTCGAGGTGGTTTGACCGCTTGACCAATTTTGCTGGTTGTTACACAAAGGGTAATACGCTAAGGTTTATCAAAAGTAGATTGGATATAGGTATGTTCACTTCAAGTATGAGTCCTTGAATAGTTGATGGTAAAAAAAAGTGACCAATATGTTTTATAAAAGGTTGAGAATGTGATAAAACATCCTCGATCTCTCTCTCTCTCTCTCTCTCTCTCTATATATATATATATATATATATATATATATATATATATATATATATATATATATAGAGAGAGAGAGAGAGAGAGAGAGAAAGAAAGGTAGGTTCAATTGAGAAAATAAAAAAGGTTGAGAATGGGGGAATCATTCTCAGCCACTCATTTATACTAAGCATAAAAAGACACTGTGGCAAACTTGTAAATATGTTAATAACCTTCAATGTCAAATACATAACTATAGAGAATTCGATAACAGTTCGTTCATCCTCAAAATTTCTCCTCCAACCTTCAACAATCATCCAGATTTCTTCAACTGAACCATCATCAATGTCATCCAGTGTTAATCAATCATCAATATTCGTAGCTGGGAGGTTCGCCATTCAAGACAAATTCGCAACCCAAATTCATCAATTTCATCGATTTGTTAAAGTTTGGAACTGGAATTTCCCAGATTCGCAAACGAAATCAGTTGGAATCAGAATTTCTTCGCTGTTCATGAAATTGGAATCGGAGTTCTTGACTCGCAGTCACGGTTGACATTGAAGGACTCAGAATCGGTACTCACAGGTTCCGATTCGGATTTTCGGAAATCAAAATCAAAATGAGAAATCGATCAGACATAGGTGTCGCATCTGAAGTCGAAATCGGAAGTATATGATGATTTACAATTGACAACTTGATGTTTTTAACATTTTTAAAATAGTTAACTTGTATGCACTCCAACTGTTTGATGAAATGCATAAACTAAATTACCATATTCATATATGAATATGTTTTCTCACTTGAATCAGTTTATTATTATTAAAACAAAAAAACAAATATGCAAGTCTGTATGTTATTCATATGTGAATAACATATAAAAATTATATATAGTTGTGAAAACACATTGTAATATTCATATGTAAATATACTGTGTAATATTCATAAGTGAATATATCATCTAATATTCACAAGTGAATATACTATGTATTATTCACATGTGATATATCATGTAATACTATGTAATATTTAGATATGAAAATATTATCTAATATTCATAAGTGAATATATCATCTAATATTCACAGGTGAATGAATCGTCTAATATTTAAATATTAATATGCTATGTTTAGTATATATGCTATATTCATATATGAATGATACTTAAAATGTAAAAAAAATTAATCATAGTTTTTATTCATAAATGAATAACGAATGTACTGTAGAAAAAACTTGATTCATTTTTATTCACTTATGAATAACGATAGTTGAAAATATAAAAAAAATTATTTTATTTTAAAACTATATCAATATGGATGTCTATTTGTAGAGAATAAAAAATCATGAATTTTGGTATATTTAAAATACTTTTTCGATAAAAATTGCTTCTTAAAAATTAAAAAAAAAATGAAAAACACTATGTTTTTGTATATATTAAGGTAATGCTTAGCATAGTTTAAGGAAATATGTTTTGTTGGAAAACACATGTCTATTCTTTTCCCATTTCCGCTGGTACGACGGAGGCTTTTGCGGCAAAAATAAATGCGTGGCTGAGAATGATTCCCTTATTCTCAACATTTTTTTTCTCAATTGAACTCTCCCCTATATATATATATATATATATATATATATATATATATATATATATATATAATATATATATATATATATATATATATATATATATATATATATATATATCACGGTTGCGAAAATCGGGATAAATAGGTGATTAATCGATTGACGTTCTTCAACCGTCGAAGATAAGGGTATTAATAAGAAATTTAGGATTAACTGGGTTTTGTGAGATTAGTCGGTCAACAAACGCCAAAAAAAAAAAAAATCAAAAAATCAACTTTTTTTTTTAATCTAAAATTTTTAAATTTTCAAATTTTTAAATTTTCAAATTTTCAAATATTATACCAAAATATTCATATTTTTGTATTTTCAAATTTTCTTATTTTTTAATTTTGAACTACTTCTTTTTCTTAAGATACATCAATCTTCGATTAATTTTAATATATTTTTAATAATCTATGACCACCGATTAATTCCTTAACACGAGTCGACCGTTGAGTGATTTTTACGACCTTAATACATACATATATATATATATATATATATATATATATATATAGGAGCAGGATCAAATGAGAACACTTAAAAGGTTGAGAACGCGAGAACAGATCTAGACCATCTAAATATTCAAATTTAAGGTTATTATTAGACGGGCCATTTATGGAATTTATTGGTATTGAAGTGCAACTTTGAAGTAGTGAAAAGGGTATAATAGTAATTGATTGTTTATTTAATTCCATTATTTATTTATTAAGATAAATAATGAAAAACCTTTTTTGTGTACACTATAATGAAAAACCTTTTTTTGTGTTCTCATTTATTTATCTTAATATATATATATATATATATATATATATATATTATATATATGTATTTATTCACACATACATACATACATACAATGTTCTAAAAGGCGTCATGGCGGGCGCCAACGCGCACCATAGCGTAAGGCGTGGCGTGGCGTTGCTGTTACGAAAAGATTTATAACATTGATGTTAGGCGTGGCGTGTGATATGACGTGTTATGGTGCGTGTTTTTTGTTAGAGACACGTTTTTTTTTCTTTTTTTTTTTAATACCTTTTCTAATCGGACATACAAGTATTTTGTTTTTTTGTTAACTTTTTGTAACACTTCTAAAAACTAGTTATATTTGATATAAATATATATTTATGCGGTAATATAGTTATAAATTAATACAAAATCGCCGCCTTTCATCACGCCTTGATAAACGTCATGGATCGCCTTAACTCGTTAAGCTTGAGGCTTGTCCTTGCCGCCACGCCACGCCTCACGTTATTTAGAACCTTATATATATATATATATATATATATATATATATATATATATATATAATTAATAATAACATTCATATATTTTGGTTTCTCTAATGAAATGAACAAAAGTAGTGAATAATTACACATATTTCTTAAGGATGAGGATGTTTCGTAGAAAATACAAACTTTTGTCGATACATATATGGAACACACACGTAATTAAATTCTATTTAGAATTTGTCAAAATAATCATGCGAATATAATGAAGATAAAGTATATAACTACTTGACAATCAAAATTGTGTATATAAATATAAGATTTATTTCATTTATGGTTCATTAAATCATTTCGAAATTCCCAAAAGATAAACTAACCTAAATTGTACTCCACACAATGGTCAATCTATTTGAAACATGTATAATGATGTTTTGTATAAGCTTTTTGGTATTGTTTCCTTGCCATCAATGTAAGTTCCTATCATGTAATTACTTTTCATGTATTGCCTCACTTTAAATGGATAATTATTCTGGTAGTGGTATTTTTTACATTTATAGGTAATGGTTACATATTAAGTAATGTTGGTGCTGGAAAACCACCAAAGTGTAATATAGAATGTAAGAAGGTTAAAAATGAGGATTACTGTTGTTGTGGTTTCGAAGATACCCCGTGCAGCGGAAGCCTCGATGTTTGTATTAAAAATTGTGCTGCGGCTAAATATTGTTGTGTTTACACTAAGTAATTGTTATGGCATTATAAGTTGTAACTCATAATATACAAAAGGCTTACATAGCCTTTTTCTCTATATAGTCGGTGGTTTATGTATTTGTAAACAAGTGAAACACACACACACATATATATATATATATATTTCAGTGGACTCAATCCGGTAGGGTGCACCCTGTCATACCAAAGGAACGTCGTGTCCAGTCGATTTACAACTTTCTTTTTTAATTTTATTTTATGGGTTTATGGTTTTTAAAACCTTGCTTGGGATTAAACAAAAATCGATAATAACCATCCGAAACGAAAATAATAATTCTGCACCCGGAAACCCTAAAATTGATAAACCATAATTTAGACAAAAAAGATTCAAATCAGTTTAGAATAGCAGTGCAAGTAATAATGAACTACACTATAATACCAGTTTTTGGTTACAGGGCATTCTAAGCACATGAATATTGCAGCAAGAGACTAAAAAATTTCTTATGGGCCCATGCAACTTATAAGGATCTTGGCCACGAATATACATTTTTATCGTTTAGAGCTTATATTTGTGTATAATATATCTAAAACTCACTTTCTTTAAACATTTGAAGGCTATTAAATCTTTGAGGAATATGCTAAAACAAACTATTAATTCCAAATCTGACCTGAAAACATAATAACGGATATAACTTTTAAATTCTCGGCTTTTTCTCAATATTAAATCATGAATGGAACGTGTTTCTATGTAGTAGAATTTATTGCGATTACTTAAATCAAAAGGTCTCATAAACTTTCAATCATCAAAATAGTGTGTTTTATTATTTTACTAAAGCGAATTCACATGTTAAGGATGTGTTTTGTATCATTTTGAATCAATGGTGCTTTATATACATGTATGTGTAAGTGTCTTAATATATATATATATATATATATATATATATATATATATATATATATATATATATATATATATATATATATATATATATATATATATATATATATGGAAAAAGTGAATATACCCTTAAGGGTATATAAGCTTAGGTACCCAAACTCACTATACTACATCGTTTTGTATCATATATATACATTGTAATTGTCCAATGTTCTTATAATTCAACTTCTAATTTGATTTACTTCCAAGATTTTTATCAATTTCACATTTATATTCGTCTTACATAATTTTCATTTTCAACTATAATATATATAGTCTAATAGGTGTTCGGCAAAAAGATATGATGTAAGAGGAAGATAATAATGAAATTTCGAAAATTTTCAAAGTAAATCAAGTCAAGGGTTGAAGTTTAAGAACATTATAATAAATATATTAAACAAAATGACGTATTATAATGGATTTGGGTACCTAAGCTTATATACCCTTAAGGGTATATTCACTTTTCCCATATATATATATATATATATATATATATATATATATATATATAATTATATATATATATATATTATATATATATATATATATATATTATATATATATATATATAACAGAAGAATTTTCATAATAATGAATTTTTGACATATTTTTATATTTGTTTTTCCATAGCCACATTTAAACAAATATGCATATGCATAATCCTACTATTTTTTCTAATTACATTACAAATATTTTTGATATGCCATATACACATGCACATGTGAAATTCGATGTCAAAGTTGCATGTAGATAAAAAGCTTATCGGCTAACTTCCAAAATTTAGTTATCATATATATATATATATATATATATATATATATATATATATATATATATATATATATATATAATAAAGGATCAAATGAGAACACAAAAAAGGTTGAGAACGTAAGAACACTTCTGGACCAATCATATTTTAAGGGTATATTAGTAATTATATATGTTAATTAAATTAAAATAAAATAAAAATCAATCAAATTTCCTTAAATTTAGGATCAATTACCAAAAAAAAATATTCGATTTTTTTATTTTTCTTATTAATGTAATATAAAAAAACATTTTTACAAAAATTTATTTAAATAATGAAAAGAAATTCAATTTTTTTCTCTTATTTCATGTTTTTTTTTCTTAAAAAAATGAATAGAAATTCAACCCCAAATCAATACAATTATATTCACAAATGATTTTTTTTTTCAAAAAACGTGAAGCTACTCCAATCACAAATGAATACATATCAATTTACAAGTAATCAAGTTCTTTATTTTAATCAACTGGAAATAAAAAGAATACATCTAGTCATAAATAAATACACTCATTAACACATGATTACATTGCTATTCACAAATGAATACACTGCTATTAACAAATGAGTACCCTGCTATTCACAAATGAGTACCATGCTATTCACAAATAAATAAATAAATACCTCTAGTCATAAATAAATACATTCATTAATGCATGAATGCACTGTTATTCACACATGAATACAATGTTATTCATAAATAAATACGCATTCTAAATTTATGGAGTATATTGTCGACTGACTCGGAATCGGGATGGTCAATTAAAAAGTCAAAGTTGGATTTGTGGACTTTTTGGTTCGAATGTTTCACCTGTGAATGTAATCAGAAACGAGGTCTCAGAATCGTAACTCATATTTGCAATCTGAATCGAGCCTATGTTTCGAATTCTTGGATTTAGGTATTGACATAGATTCGCAATCGGGAGTGTGATGTTCTTAATGAATGAAATCGGGATTGAAACTTTACTGGAATGCTCTAAGGATGTTCGCTATTTGCTGGTCAACCTGGAAGTCAATTGTTGCGAACTATCTCACCTACGAACTATCGGAGCTTGATAATCTAGGCTGAGACTCATTTTTCCCACGAACATCAAAGTTAAGATTAGATTCGAAACCGACTGTTCATTATTGGGATGTTCGTAGTTTGAAATTGATTCGGAGCTTCATATTCGGGGATTGACTTTGATTCGCGAAGGTTGCGTTGTCGGGGCTAGGGCAGCAGAAGGAGGCGGCGACTTTAAGCCTCTTAGGAGCTTACCTTGATCATATTTGCATCTCAGTTATGGCGGATACGGGTCTAAGGTGGATATAGCCGCCTCAATGGTCGGGGAATTCGATGTCGCTGCAACCATCTTCGGCGAAGCTTACGTTGTCGGGGCTTGGGCAGGAGAAGGAGGCGGCGGCGTTTGATAGGGGAATGAATAGATGGATTGTTGAAGATCAAAGACGAAGGAGAAATAGGGTGCTTTTTGGATGAGTAGAGAAAAAAAGCGACTACATCGATAGTCTTTATCTTCAAAGCAGCTTCCAGGTCCAATTAGGGCTAAAAAAATCGTTTGATAAGGGAATGAATAGAGAGACGACAATCTTTAATGGAAATAAGAATGAGATTGAGAAATTATAGGATTGACCTAAAGTTTCAATTACTGTTATACCCTTATGCCATTTTAAAAGTTACACTTTACTACCTATAGTTTTAGAATCAACATAAATTACCCGTTTGATAATAGCCTTAGATTTGAATATTTTAATGGCCCAGATGTGTTCTCGCGTTCTCAACCTTTTTGGCGTTCTCAATTGATCCTACTCCTATATATATATATATATATATATATATATATATATATATATATATATATATATATATATATATATATATATAAAAGAAAGAAAATATATAAAAGTAAGGTTAAAATGATCTTTTTAAGTGGATTAAAGATGTGCAGTGTAATTTCTTTAAACCACAAGGATGCATCTTGTCAAATTTTCAAAGGTTGAACTGGACGTGCGAATTTAACCAAACTACAAGGACAAAAAAACTATTCTTTTATTAGTATAGGAAGATGTTTTGGGAGAATAAATATATTTTTTAAAAGTATAAATATGTTTTTTTATGTTTTTTAAAAATATAAATACGTATATTTACATTTCAATAAATATGAAATGAATGAAGTTTTTATTTTTCATTTCAAAAATTTTACAAATTTTGGAAAACTGTAAATATTATTTTTTTCTATTATACATTCAATTTGAAAAACACTTTTTTTAAAAAAAATTATTTGGAAAAATGAATCAACTGATCGCCTTGTCAAAATTATTGTGGAAATTTGGAAAAAAATTTATAAAAAAAAAAGTACCCTAATTTTTTTTAAAGTTTCGGTTGTAACGAACCTAAAGTGAAAGGTTTTTAATTTTTTTTTGAAAAACTTAATTCATTATCCCTAAGAGAAAATGATTATGACATTTTATTATAAACTAGGTGTATAACTCATGTATTATATGGATCTATTTGAAATAAAAATTAAACACAAAATTTTAAACATTTAAGAAGTTTAATTTTATAAGAAAATTTAGAAAATATTGAATTACAAAAATTATAGTGTTCTTTTTCTCTTTTAAATTTAAACAAATAATCTAGATAAATAAATAAAGAAAATTAATGAATGTTTAATTTAGTAATTTTAATATTAGAATGAAAGTTCATTAATAAAATTGATATGCATTTATTATTGCATTTAAATAGTATTTAGATTTAATAAAATGAAAAAACCATAAATAACACCTAGAATAAAAATTAATTTAAAATAACTATAAAATTACATGTGATAAAATTAATAAAAATGTAACATATGGTAAAAAGATCTTTATTTATTAGGAAAAACTATTTTATTTCAATGAATTTTCATGTTAGTACACGAAACCTGAATGAACTAGAAACATTTTGAACTAGATAGACTATAATATATCGATTGGTAACTATTCTATTTGTTTCCTACCATTAAACTCTATGCTAAATATTCGACTTTATTATTTGTTTATGTGTAATATTAAAAACGTTATACTACATGGCTTAAGAACAATTAAATTAAAAAGGGAATAAAGTAAGTTGATGAAATAGGTAAGCAAGAAAAAAAGTCAACGTCTCAGCCGTTCTTTTGGGTTTTACGCGCATTTGATTTATTCTTTTCATTTCTTCCTCCTGCAAGGCGCTTTGAGCCTTTGACACTATTCACCAACTTCACGCATTGTGTCTTTCGTGTTTTATTCCTTTCTGTGTTTCGAGCTTATTCATGTCGTACTCGAGGCAAAATTCAATTCACCATTAGAGTTTATTACGGGATTTCGAAAGAGGATTTTTTTTTGAGTCGTCTCTATCAATTGGCTGGGGTTAACGATGGTTTCAAAGCCACAAGTGAGGTTTACATTGGGGAAACAGTCGTCGTTGGCGCCTGACACGGTTTCGTGTTCGGATTCCGATTCAGATGATGGATTGGAGGCGATTGATCCTAGGGTTAGGTTGATGTTTTTCTCGAGTGAAGGCGATTTGGAAGGGATTAAGAAGCTCTTGGATTCAGGAACTGATGTTAATTTTAAAGATATTGATAATCGTACAGCTTTGCATGTAGCAGCCTGTCAAGGGTTTACTGATGTTGCTGAATTGTTGCTGGAGCGCGGCGCTGAAATTGACCCCCAAGATAAATGGGGTAGCACGGTATGATTCGAGGGTTTACACTTTACAATCAGTGTTTTGTGATTCATTATATTTTCACACAAAATTGCTTTGAATTTTGTTCCTTTATATGATTCATCCGGTGTAGGGTTTGGCCATTTATGCTTCTCTTTTTCGTTGTCTACACTTATTCAGATGTTTCTTTAACAGCCTCTTGCAGATGCAATCCATTATAAAAACCATGGCGTTGTCAAACTCTTGGAGAAACATGGTGCCAAGCATCTGGCAAGTTTTTCTCTTTGGGTTTTTTCTTCAAGTTTTAGTTATCAGATCTTCTGAAACCTCCTTTTCTCGTTTTCTGTTCTCAACAATGGAAAAACTCAGACAGCTCCCATGCATGTCAACAATGCTCGTGAAATTCCTGAATATGAAATCGATGCCAAAGAGCTTGATTTCACAAACAGTGTGGACATCACCAAGGTGAATCATCTTAGATTCATTTACTTATGTTAAATTGGTAAATATGTATGTATGAAATATGCATTTGTTATTTGTCTATATGTATCTATTTAGGGAACATTTGCCATAGCTTCATGGCGTGGAACACAAGTAGCTGTTAAAAAGCTTGGGGATGAACTTTTTACCGATGAAGAGAAAGTGTGAGTCATCAACAAACTGTTTTTTGTTGTTTTATGACTTTTATCTATAATTCTCTACATGTTCTTTTCGATTTTTGATTTTTTTTTTCTTTTAGGAGGGCATTTAGGGATGAACTTGATCTGTTTCAAAAGATCCGGCATCCAAATGTGGTTCAGTTTTTGGGTGCTGTAACTCAAAGTAGTCCAATGATGATTGTGATTGAATATTTACCAAAGGCACTCTTCACTCTACCTTCCTTTTTTCATAATTTCCAATAATACCCAAAATCCCATGATTGTTAGAACACAAGGCTTCATGTGTTCCATTTTGTTCAACTAGAAGTCAAAAGATTAAAATAATTTTTGGTTGAATTGGTTTTGGAGCATGATTAATTAATTGATTTAGATGAAAGATTGAAAGTTACACGCCTATTGATTTTTTTTTTTTTAAAATCCATATTTAATTTTATGCAATATTTCAGGGTGATCTTAGAGCATTTTTGAAAAGAAAAGGAGCACTAAAATCAATTACAGCTTTAAAGTATGCCATGGATATTGCAAGGTAGTTTCTCACTTTCTCTTTTACACTAATGTTTAAAAAAAAATGAATAAACTTTAATCTACTATTTGAAATACATATATATTATGTGTTTTAAATGAAATGAAATTTGTTTATATGCAATTTATTTATATTATTCTTCAGGGGAATGAGCTATTTGCATGAGAACAAGCCAGAACCAATCATTCACAGAGACCTCGAACCTTCGTAAGTTTTTATTACTAATAAAAAATATATTAAATAAAAAAAAATTAATCTCCGACATGAGATTTTAATATTTATTTATTTATTAATAAATCAGAAATATTTTGCGGGATGATTCTGGACATCTGAAAGTTGCCGATTTTGGAGTCAGCGAATTACTCAAAGGGACACACGCAGCTAAACACGAAAAGCCCATGTCACATCAAGACACTACTTGTGAGTCTTTTTTATTAAATTATTTAAAAATTAGATATTAATATTTAGAAACTAATTTTTTTTTTTAAATTGTTTAAATTCTTTTACAGCAGGGAGGTATGTTGCTCCGGAGGTGTTTAGAAACGAAGACTATGATACCAAAGTGGATGTTTTCTCATTTGCTTTAATTTTACAAGAGGTGTTATATCTTTTTAAAAGACTTAAATTTCATATTAGTATTGTTATTATGTGTGATTTATTGACAATTAATTTTATTTTTTTTTTTAAAATTATTTAATTAAGATGATTGAAGGATGCCAGCCATTTGTTACAACAAATGAAAGAGATGTCCCTAAATTATATGCTGCGAAAGAACGGCCTCCTTTTAAAGCTCCATCAAAGAGTTATGCACATGGGCTTAAAGAGTATGTACTTTATTTTCCCATTGCAAATTACGAAAATACCCTTTAGGGACTAAAAATGTAACGGATTATTTAATGTATAATATTTTGTATTTATGTAGGTTAATCGAGGAGTGTTGGCATGAGAATCCGGAGAGGAGACCGCCGTTCAGACAAATCATCGTTCGCTTGGAATCAATTTACAATTCCATTGACCGAAAAAAGCATTGGAAGGTCTCACTGAGTTTCTTTCTGTATTAAGTCGTTCTTTCTGTATTAAGGGGGTGTTTGGGAAAACTTTTCAATGTTAAAAGTTCTTTTTTAAAAGGACTTTTTGGCTAGTGATTTTTGTCAAAAGAAAATCTTTAAAAAGTGTTTGTATTTGCTTTTAAAGTAAAAACTAACTTTTCAAGTTAAAAAGTCCCAAAAGTCACAAAAAGATAGGATTTTGTGACTTTTGAAACACTCTCTTTTTCTTCTATACAAAAAGTCATTTTAAAAGATCTTTTTTAATACCCAAACATCTTTTGTATCTTTTCTAACTTTTTGAAAAAGTTAAAAGTTAGAAGTTGTTTTAAAAGTCATCCCAAACACCCTCTAAGTAAGTAAAAAAGAAACGCTGGTAATTATGAATACTGTATTAAGTCGTTCTTTCTGTAGGTCCAACGGTTTAGATGCTTCCGGATGATGGGAATGTGCAAGGGAGAAGATTCCGATACAAGTACAAACAACCGGTCGTCTTG